TCTCTCTCTCTCTCTCTCTCCCCCTCCCTCTCTCGATGAAAATGTCGTCGTGGCGTCCGACGAGAGAGGCATAGGTAGCCAGCACAGAGATTTACCTCGAGGTCCTCGAGTCATGCGATCACGAGTTTTCCTTCGTAAATCAATGCCACGCGCGCGACTCTCTCCTTGACGATCAATCGGCCAACCCAAAAAGCTCGACGCTAACGAACGCAGCCGAGCTGTCGTGCGAACTCGCTGATAATGCATGTCGCGGAAGCGCGCCTCGACATTGTTATCCAATAAAAGTGACGCGGGAGGATCGCGGATTCTCCGCCCCCGCGGGCGCCCACGCATGCGCGCGATCTCGTCCACGCGGGGCATCGTCGGGCTCTCGGTGTGCAATTAGAAGAGGTCCGTGCCGGCGATCGGCGCCGGGTTCGATTCCTCTCTGTCTCCAATTTCCAGCGTACGCGGGACAACGCGCGTCGTCTTAGAGCGGTGCGCGCATCAGCAGCGGGGCTATGGTGCGAGCGCGCGCGGAGAGAGAAGCCGAGCGCGTGTCCTACATGAAGCTACTCGGCGCGGCCAAGAATATCTGCACTAAATCCTTCCCCCTCCTCACGCCTTCAACGGCGACGCGCCTCTCGTCTTGTGCTACGCAGTCTCTCACCTTCGACGAAACGCGAGCTCGAACTGCCAGGGAACATCGCGCGCCGATGCACCCTTCTTTTCTCTCGCTCGCGAGCTATGCATTTCGCTGATAATTATATCGCTCGCTCGGGCACTTTTATATTTTCGGATCGCGCGAACTTTGTTGATTCAGCAAGCCCATCAATGCTTATTTTCGTATAGCTCGTTTCTCCCCGCCGTGCAATCAACGTTAAATCGACAACGGCGAACGAAGTTACCCTTCCGTCGTTGCGTAGCGAGGAAAAGAGGAAGCGCGCGCGCCATCGCGAAAACTAACAAGTCAAAAGAGAAAAACAAGAAAAACGCTCGTAAAAGCACCACGAAGCGTATAAAACATAAGAGCAATGAAACCGTACCAGTAAAAATGGCAAAGTGGGAAAAAAACGAGGTAGAAGTGCGAAAAGCCGCGCGCGCGTCGGTCTCTATCTTAAGTTACACGCGTATATAATGTAAGCTCGAGTCGAAGTTGCGAGCGTCCGCGCAGCCGCTGCTTAATAATTCCTCGTGAAATCGACCGGCGACGCGAACGGTCACGGTGAACTATTTTCGTATGAGCTTGCAAAGCGCGCGCCAGCGCTGGCCGCGCGCCGCTCGCTCGCCAAAGCGATTCCCTTTCCGAGTGCAACTGCAAGTCGACGAGGAGGCGCGCCCGCCGCCACTTATCGCCGAGATCGGGCGACGCGAGAGCAAGGCTGGTGCGCGAGCTCCTGCCACTGCCAACTGATCGCTGGACCGACCGCGCTATCGATTAAACTTTGAGCGCTGCCTGTCTCGGCGGCCAAAGTAATAATAAAAGTCGATGCAGCATCGCGTCCTACGTGTCTGTGTGTGTGGGTGTGCAGTTATATATAAGCGAGCTGTATGAAAAGAAAACAGCGCTCGCATAGCTCAAAGCGACTCGAGTGTTTGGGCGGCCGCGCGAAACTATTTGCTTGTTCAGCCTAAACCATCTACTCGCGATTCCCGGCGCTTCTGAGCTTGCAGCTAACAGCATTAATGAGAAAACCGTGCGTAACGATAATGTCATTACCCAGCGCGCCTACGGGCCCGCGTTATAGAGTCTGCTGGCGTGTGTCGGCGCACACGCGCGCGCGGCATTGTTCGAAACGACGTAAGGAAAGCACAGTTTTGCGCTTAATTATCGATCGATCGGGAAGCCGTACGAGCTGCTCGGGGTCTCTCTTCGGTTATACATCGCTACAACTTATCGCTCGCGAGCTTACTCTTTTAGGCATTTGCGCAAGCCACCTCGCGACGCCGCCGCTGCCGCCGCCGCTACCGCCGCCGTCACGGCATTCTCATTTGCAAGCTTAACTTTTCGCGGTTAAAAATAGCTAGCGAGCGCAAAAAAGAGCCATTATGCAATGCGAGCGGCGCGCTCGCACCTCCGTCTTTCCTCGCCTATCTTCTCTTCGTTTCGCGAGGAACGCTTCATTTTTTCACGAGATAAGAAGCCTCGTCGACGGGGCATTTCATTATCGAGCGGAATCAGGCCGAGGCGATTAGTTCGCGGGGAGCGAGGATAGCGCTGTCACTTAGTTTATCGCGCCGCGCGCTAACTAATTACGACGCAGGTAAAAGCTCGTCCGACCCTTCCTGCTGTCGTCTTTCCGCGCCGGCCGAAAACTCATCGATCGAGGGATCGATTGTTCTCTCGCGCGAGATCGAGTGGCGAGAGCGTGGCGCCCGCGTCGACGTTCGGCTTTTTCGTTTGTTTGTTGTTTTATCTCTCTCTCTCTCTCTCTCTCTCTCTCTCGCTCGCAAAAGGCGCGCGCGCGCACGCGGCCGGATAACGCGGCCGCCCAGTATCGAGCTATTTTTCTCTTCGCGTTCGATGCTCGCGACGAGCGAGTGGCAGCTTTCTGTGACAAAGGGCGTCGCGTCGCCCATCTAAATGCGCTCGAGCTCGCCACGCGAAATGAATCCGCGACGCTGATAATCGGAGCCGAACGACGCGCGTAATTTCATTTCGCACAGCCAAGGCTGCCCCGTGTGAAATTGGCTTTTCGAGCTGCTCCACGGCTCGGTCGGCGGAACGCTTATTGACCTTTTTCTCACTGGCGTGTCAATTTCTCTCGGCTTGACGCACGAAGCGCCCCGGCTATACAGACTAATGAATTTCTCTCGCTCGCAAATGTCCGTGAACACGCGTGGATATCGGTAAATAGCTTTTCTCCTGGCTCGCGTCAGCGTTTCCATCGTTTTCCTCTCTTTTTTCTTTTTTTTTTCTTTCTTGTCTTCTCGTGGCGGAGCACGCGCGAGACGAAACATGAAAGAAAGAACGCGATTCGAATTTGATCCGCGGCGCTGTTCCGAGCTAACGTTAATTAGCGCGTGCAGGGAGTCTCCGAAAGGAATAGCCAGCGCGACGGCTGCATCCGTCATTGACCATTATTTTCCGACCCACATACTCGGAACACGAGCGCGGAAAAGCCTTGCGAAACGGCGTAACGCGAGCGAGTGCTAGGCTACGTGAAAACGGTCAAACTATCCGCGTGCGAACGGTCGAGGCGGCAATTGAACGGAAAGAGCTGCGCTAGTCCTCGCGCGCTCCTGCTCGCATGGGTCAGCGGCTCGGAACCACTCGTTCGATAGTGGAGCTTGGTCCAAATCAACGCGAGCGTCGTCCCGCGAAAGAGGCCAAAATCACAGATCGCGACAGAGAAGTACCAAACGACGAAAGAAAAAAAAAGCAAATGAAAAGAAGGAGCAACGGTTCGTTCCCTCGAGATGTGCGCGCGAGAGAAGGCGAAGCTCGAAAAGGCAATTCCGGCTGCCGACGGAGGCGAAAATTCCGCCGCGAGAGTACACACGCGACCAACCCAGCGATTCATCAAAGCTTCGCGGAGGAGAAGGAGGAGGAGGAGGAGGAGGAAGCCGCCACGGCGGCATCGTTACAGCCTATCCCCGCGCGCAGACATAGCACTCGGCCCGTAGGGAGAAAACGAGGAGGCCGTGCGGCGACAAAATCATACACGTGCACGAGCAGCAGCCCTCGGCCGGAAGCGTGATTTATCGGCATTAATCAAGCTGTCGGGCGCGCCTGAAAGTCAATCAATATTCGGAGGCAGCGACGAGTCGTCGGCTTCGGGAACGCGCGTCGGCCGCGGGTACACAGTGTAAAAATGAATCGCGGCGCTCTCGACGCCCGCAATACGTAAGCGAATCAACTGAAGTCTTAAGCGGGCGCGCGGGGCAATCCTATCAAACAAATTCGGTCGCAAGGATAGACCTCGCTGCCTGCTATCTCGGCGCACGCTCGCGAGGAAATTCCGCGGAGCACGCTAATGCATTTATACGATACTCGCATACCAAGAAAACCTTCGCTGGCAACGCGTTTGTGACACACTTTGCCTCTCTCTCTCTCTCTCTCTCTCTCTCTCTCTCTCTCTCTCTCTCTCTCTCTCGCGGCTGATCAATCAATATCTTTTTCATTCCCACGTCGCCGTCTCGACTATTGCATACCTACAAGTGCGCGCGCTACTCTCCGTGAGCAGGAGAGTCGCTATCCGATGAATCAATCGCGCGGCGTCCAATTCGCCGTGGAGTTAAACGACAGCGAGGCGCGGAAAACGCCAGCGTTATCCTGACGGCAAGTGCGCCTGGCGAAATAACGTGTAGAAGCGAGACAAACGAGTCTCGTGTTATCTCGCGTTAAATTAGATTAAGCCAAACAAGGCGTGACTCGCTGAAGCTCGAAGCTTGCGCTGATCTCCTAGCGTAAGCACCACCACCCATATCCTAACCTCAAACGAAAAGCCCCGTAGATTATCGTGGCGAAGCCTGGATATCGCATTGACAATAGAAAACAGAGGAGTCTGTCGACATAGCACATGGTTTAATGCGCGATGCCTGCGTACCGCGAGCATAGGGATGTTTTATGATCCGGTCCGTGTGTGTATGCATGTGTGTATAGTTAGGAGGCCCCTCTTCTCCTTCTCGCTCGCCCCGGCTCGCTGTCTCTCTCTCTTTCTCTCTCTCTCGCACGCGGTATACTGGTGGCTCGCCTATTGATCGCCGGGCGCGAGAGCGAGCCGAGTTAAAGCTATCGCGCGCGCGCCGTTCGCCGGCGAAATTTTCTCGTGCGTAGCTCGTTCCTGCGCGTAAGCTCTTTTCTTCCCTGGGAACTATCGGAAAAGCCGCCTACGGAGTACATAAGTACACTGGTCAACGTTGAGGTTAGGTCGGTGTGCGATGCACAATTAGGTTGTTCATCCACGACCGAACACACGCAATCGCGCAACACCAGGCGAGTGCTAATTTTGTTTTTCCTCTCCGGTTCGTAACTTCGGTTACTTAATTTGGTCATGCGATAATGATGATGGACTCACCGTAGAACGCAGCTCGTCCTTGCCGGGAGTTGTCGCGCAGATGGTACAATCCTGCCAGCTTTCCGTCGTTCTCCGAAACGAAAAAGACACACTCACGCACTTTATTGAACACACTGTGATATATATATATATTTTTTTTCTTGCTTTTCCTCTTTTTTGTTGCACTGGGACTGTCGTTGTAGAGTCACGAGAACTGGCGAGCCACTATCTGCACCACTGCACACTCGAGAGCTTTTGGCCAGCTGTTATTTCTTATACACACTTGGAGCTAGCCTCAGCTCGTCATTCTCTCTCTCTCTCTCTCTCTCTCACACATACATACGCGTCTCTCTTTCTCTCTCGCTCACTCGCTCTCTCTGTCTTATTAATCTCGTCTGCTAAATCAGAGCGGCGCTCGCCAGCTTATTCGGCTGCTGCTGCTGCCTGCGATCTGCTCGGCTCTGCTGCTCACTCCCCGCTACTTAGCTTGCGCGATCGTCTGCTGTGCTGCGCGCAGTCACGGCCCCGCCAACTCGCTATCTGTCTGTCTCTCTCTCTCTCTCTCTCTCTCTCTCTCTCTCTCTCTCTCTCTCTCTCTTCCTTCCGCCGCCCGCTTGTGCAAAATCCAACGCAGAGAGCAGCACCGGGTTACTGTGCGCCGCCACCGTGCCAGGTATACGTAGGTGTACGAACGTGTGTTGGTGCCAACCAGCCGAGTCTACCTAGAACGAGTGGGCGATAAGAGGAACATGCCAGCGCCTGCGCCAGCCTACCACACCATCCTAGGTCGAATCCACCGGACGATGTCTGTTCTGCTACTTTTTTTTTACTGACATATGAAGCCAGACCTCTTACGCACTAGATGGCACCAACGGTGGTCTCTTTCATGAGTTAAGCTTTGGCGGGCATATTTGATTTGACTCTCTTCAATGTAGATACAGCAGCCTTGACTTATGTTCGTTAACTTGCATTGATTCCGTTTGAAATTCTGTCTTCGCCACCCAACGGAGAGAGCGAGAGAGAGAGAGAGTAGAGGAAAAGAAGTTCCATCATCTGTTATATGCTATTGTTTTTAAGTAGCATGTTATTAGAGCTTTGAGAGTTTTTGGGCGTCTCGGGTAACAAGATGGAATAAGGATGGGGGAGGGCGGTGAGTTAATGTTCCAGCCAAGACCGGCTAGAGCGTCCGATAGAGAGCATCTAGCGGTCGCGTACTGTGCTAAATCCCAGAGGACATGTTGCCGCGAGCGCGTTCGGTTGTATGCGCAAGTATCGAAATTAACTAGCTTAATTGTTATTCTTTAGGACATTGGCGATCAATCGCCATTGCGCGATGGTTTCTCTATCATTTTGCTAAGCATATTACGTAAGCTAGCTAGATGTCGGCTTATTCGATAAATTCGAGTGCCGTGCGTGATCTTGGTCTGTTTTCAATAGTTCCAATAGTTTAAGTGACTCGAGTTTAAGGAGGAAGGGACCGACAGCTTCTGTGATACTCATTTTTAATATTTTATATTATTTTATTTAACAACATACTATTTGTGGCTGCCCTCATCTTGCTCGCGATGGCCGAGTAATCGGGAATCCACATTAAGGAAACTGATGTATTGTTTATTTTCGCGACGTTCAGTTTTGATTTGCAGTCGTTTATAATTTCCTCATAGAAGATTGATACGTTTGGCGTAGAAATTTTGTTAGTTGTATTCATCGTGTCTAAGCTAACGGCACTATTTTTCATGAATGTTTCTATTGTAAACATAGGGCTTTCCATATTGCATAAGCTTCGCATTCATAACTGGAGGTCAAAGACGGTAGGTGAAATTGAATAGATTCGTTATTAAATTCATCGTAAATCTCTGCCGTTCAATGTTATAGCAGGTGAATTATCACTCATACAGACCCATTGCCACCATCGAGCTTTCGCGGATAAACTTCTCTACCATCTCGTTGTTCAGAGTATGATCCCCGTTCCGGTTGATTTTTAAGCCCATCTCCGTGTCGACCATGAACTGGCTTAATCCCTATATCATAATTATAAAGTGAAGGCAAATTCGTGGCTTAGAGACTTAGATCTCTTGCTTTGATACGCTCCTGAATGCAGTCCTGGAAAAAAACCACTAATTTCGTTTGGTGTACAGCTGCATTCGAGCTTTTGTTTCGTAGCTAATTTATGAAGGACTTAGCAGAACCTGTTCTAGTTTTTTGGTCACCTCCGCCTTGTTTCTTCTCTTGCACTATATATTACGGTGATTTACGTACTGGAGATTTTTGCAATGGCTACCTATATTCTTTTTCGATTTCTAACATATATATTATATATATAGGATAAGGCTGAGTAAGAATCCTTGAGTAAATCCTTTGGCTGTGATCGCATCGCCGACCGACTGACTATTTTTAAATAATTGGATTTTTCTGGATGATATAAAATTTTTGATAAAGCAAACCAGTTTGCTTGGAACACCAAGATAAATGAAATTCTCCGAGGCGGATGTTAGGTACGACAATGTCGACAAAGAGGACTCCTAGGTATTCGTCTTCGACGAACGCTGAGCATACATTGGTAGCTAACACCGCCACGCTATCTTGGCAGAAGCGAGCCTTTCTGAAGCCGAATTAACTTCTCTGGATGGAGCAATTATTCTCCAAGGACCAGTCCAGGCGTAATTTACTTGTGTACTCTGCTAGCTTTAGAAGCTTTAGAGCCAAAGTAATTCAACGAAATCATTGCTTCCTGGCTTACGGATCATGTATTCTCTCTCACTCCATAGGACAAGTTTCTGATTTTAAAATGTCACTGAAGCATTCGCGCAGGGTTTTACAAGTAGTTGGCGGTAAATTTCATGTAATTTCGTTTGATATGGGATCGCTGCTAGGAGATGATTTAATCTTGAAATTTTTTTAAGGCAAAAATGTACTCGGCCTTGATGATATTCCGTCCATCCGTCCATCCGTCCATCCTACCTTTTCTGCAATTTCACAAAATTTGAGAAGACATATTTATCTTCGGCCTTCACTGATTTTTCTTACGGTATCCTGGATTTTAAGATCGCCCGGATCGACATTTGGAGTGTTTTCTTCGAAGTTCTGGTGAGCCCTCAATTTTGTTTATCGGTGACCAAAGTTTTGTTGTTGCTATAACTTGACTTTGCTGTAGAAGTTTACCATGTATTTACTTTTACAGCTTTTTGTGATTTAAAAAAAAAATTGCTTATCTTTTTCCACACCCAAGCACATTAGCCAGGCTGTTTTACTTTTGGAATGTTCTGTCAGTTTCGTCTCTACTACTCACGGTTTTCTGATATTCACGATTCCATGACAGTTGGTAACAAAATTGAGTATTCCCTTTGCTGCGTTAGGTTTTGACTCTATTGGTAATACTTAGTAATACGCGTATTTTCTACGATACTAGAAGTCAATAGGCACACCTAGCTCGTGGAATGTCTATGTGCATCAACTATTCATAGGTCAACATTTCAATGTTTATCTCAAATCGACAAATTAGAATCAAAATTATCTCTTTAAGAAAGGCTTCTTTGTCTTTCTATACTTTTCTTTCGGGTATTTAATTTTTAGATCCGTTTGATTTATATTGACATCAACTTCTTTGAAAAGTACTCCAGTTTATTTTTCCCTTATCCAAGTCACGCGTGCTATTGTCTTTGTAAAATACGATGGTGATAGAATAATGATCACTTATGCAGGACGCACGTGGAGTCTTCCACCCCAGGTTGCTGTAAATGCTCGAAGTTGCTAGACTCGCGCTAGCAGAGCCATTCATGCAATTGTGCTTCGGAACGCGGCTGATTAAATTAGTGTCGTCTAGAGTAATGAATTTGGAGTACACTATGTATATAATCAAATTCTTACTGGAGCCTTCAGTCCTTTTGCTCCATAGCGGCTTACGAACATTGAAGTCTCCACAGACAGACAATAGCTTAACCCGGTGCATCCTCTAAAGTTATCATTCTTATCCGCTCTTCCGCTCAACGTTTACCTCAAGTTTTTTTTAAGCTCAGTATATCAAAGTTGTAGTTTGTATTAGAGTGACGGCATCTATCTATTCAATTTTATCGACGTGCGCTAAAGTGATTCCTGGTCATGTCGTTTCTATCTTTACATGGTATGTGTATCCTGGACATACTCGTATATGTGGGTATGTATACCTCAAGGGAGATACGCAGCGAGTACTCTGATGTTCTTGACATTCCATTGCAGGATATTAATAATAGTATAATTTGATTTTCAGGAGGGTATCGATAGTTAACAATGTACGAGAGTGCCTACTTTTGTCGACCCGATGGGGGTTTTTCTTTTTTAAGAATCATGGATTTTTTTTTTGATTTTGAGATCTTAAAAAGAGATTCTTCCGTGTCTTAGAGCGCCCTTTCTTTTCGGTCTCGATGTGCTTAGACACTCGTTATTTACCTCGCTAGTTATATCTGTAACATCATAATGCACTCGGTCAAGTTTAAAATTTGTATTTGAAATTCCTACGGTAATGTCGGAATAATCCTTGCTTGCAGACTGAAGTGAATAAAATTGTTGTATTTCTGATAAAAATGATTGCTTCTGTTTGATTATCGCAACATTTATAAGCCTTTCAGATAAACGTTTGGAGCCCGAAGTTCTCAGGCACATCATCAAGGAAGTTAACTTTGAATTTAAGTTTCCGTATATAAGCCGGTGTGCTTCGGTTAATATTTGTTTTTATTTCCGTTGGTTCGCGTTTGACAGATGAACTCGCTCCGTTGATTGCACTAGAATCGGAGCCGTCGGGAGACTCGGTCTGAATGGAATGAAATGAGGAAAAGAAAAAATTCGTTAACGCAACCTTCAATTGCGTAATGTTTCGATTCCCTTCCTCGTGCGGGACTGTCGAATACACGTACGCGTATCCATTTTTTCGTCCTCAGTAGTAGTACGACTTTGCGCGAGCATCTTGATCGGGCTCGCTCGATAGAGATATTGGGTTTGGCTGCTGACGCTCCGACTCTCTGCTTCGAGAATCAAGGAACGCTCTGCACTTGCTGTCGTCGCGCCTCTCCGCAGTTCAATCTTGCCGTGGGATCTTCTTATACGTATAATCTATTATCCGAGTTGAAGGCGTGATTTTTGCCGCAATGTACACACCGCTTGGGACTGGAGTACTTGCCGTGCGGGTGCTCCTAGCCCCAGCAGCTTTTGCATCACAGAGCGCTTTGGATAAGAGCTTGAAATTTGCACACGACTTTCCTGATGGAAATTTCATTGGGTAGTCTTTCACGTGTAAAAATGACATAGAAGTATGCGCTTCATTCTCGGAAATCCATTTCATTATTCTTTTAACGCCCGAGTCAGTGTATCCGGCGCGAATATCGGTTTCGATGTCGCTCTCATCGATTCCGAGATCAACGCCGCGAATCAACCCTGCCCTGAATATTTTATGCTCCGGGATGGAGGTGGTACCGCCCAGTTGAGAAGTATTTTCGCT